GTGTGTGTGTGTGTGTATCATGTATCTAAATTGTGATATCGCATGTCTTTATTTGAGCTAAAATATGTTATTTCTTGTTATTATTTGTTGTTAATTGAATCAAAAAGCTATTGAAAATATTTAAACTTTAATTTTACATATTATACAATATTAATATATAACTTTTGATATATAATTTCTACATTTCTATTTTTTTTACATTTTCACCTTTCCAGAATATCAAAAATTTTGGAAGATTTAAGCAAATTACACTATTTGAAGGAAGCTATATGTTAATTGTAAAATTTATATAAATATAATGTATGTATATGATTAAAAAATGTTGAATATGTATATATGTAAAAAAATTATTTTTTCTATAGGTTATCTTCTTTCGTATCAACTTCCAATATATATTTCAATACTATTTACAATATTATTTACTCATATCATATGTATGTACATGATACATACATAGTGCAAAGATTAGCATATAAACATCTTATCATAATATCTTATCATAATATCATAAACTTGCATGACATGCAACTCTTTTTATCCGTGAATCCGTTTGGAACAAGTCATATATTTGTAAATATTACTTGCTCGTATTCACATTTCCTCTGGCTTTGGCAACAAACATGGCTGATAATATGAGCATGTTATCAGGAGAGGAAAAAAGGACTTCCTTTCCAGCTATGATCGCATTTGCGCAGAAACAGACGGCACATGCGTCCTTTCATGCAAAAGAGAATGTGACGAAAAGAGATAAAGCTAATCATCCGCAGGATATTGCGGCTAATGTAACTTTTCATTCAACTATTCTTCTTTTATGTGCGGCAATAGCTTCTGTTGTATTACGATAGCAATGTGTTTCATATTACTGTATGTTGAATCGAAATTTAAAATTAACTATGTATTAATAAGTAAGTGAAAGATTTAATACAAAGTTTTGAAATAAAAAATGCTACTTTCAATCAGTACTTTAAAAATTACTTTTAAAAGAAACTTTACAGTTCATCGAGGACTGATTGTTCTAATTTCGGATTTTATCTAATGAGAATTGTAAGAAAAAGAGAATGTGAGGATAAATGGAATTTTATCGAAAGGTGGAAATACCTTGAGAATAAATAATTTTTGAATTATGAATAATACTTTTTTTGTTTTTTTTTAGTATCGACTAATAATAAACCGATCTCGCCAAGTCAACAGCAAATTGTGATGAGCGAAGGAGAGTCTTTAAAGATTATATGCACTGGTTTCACACCAATTAAGTTTGTTTATCCCGATGAATTTGGAGAATTGGTATGTGTTATAAATTTCACCTATAAATTTAAGTCATGTTCCAATATTATTTATTTATGTTTAATAAATATAGATAATAGATATTTCAGATGGTACAATGTTTTTCATTTCCATATAAAAAATTGTTGAAATAATCCTAAAAGATTAAATATTTTTAATTTTTAACAACTTGAATTTTTTATTTTGCTTTTGCAGTTTAGTTCCTAAACATAAGAATTTTCTTACATAATTATTTTCTAAAATATATATTAAATTATATAATTATTTTATAAAATTTAATAAGGAAGATTTCAAAGTCAAGAAATACAATTACTTTCGATTACGATTCGTCAAGTATACATGTCTATGCAAGATCAAACTGTGTATCTATACAAATGCAAATATTATCTTGTTGCAAAAATTTAAGATTATCAGAAACGATTGGACTATCAAATTCTCAATATACTTAATCGATAGGTGGAGTTGGGTTCAAATTAGATAAGAAAATTGTTATTTTTTTCTCTACTCTATAAGAAGATATTACAACACAGAGCACAAATTTGGAAATTTTCAATAAAGTTATTTTAAGGCTTTTGTTAATTTCTATAAATTTATCTTAAGGCTTCTATTAATTTCATTGTAGCCATCTTGAATCATGATGTTAGAAACGAGGAAACACATGAATGATGAAAATTCGTACAAAATATATTAAAATAGAAATGTTTTTTGATAAAATAATATTTGCACTCGATAAAACAAACATATAATATATTTCAAAAATTCTTTTTTCGTTCCAATAATTATTCCAATAATAATCAATAATTACATATAGAATAATTACATATAGAAATAATTACATATAGAAAATAAATTATGTTTAATTAAGAAGACAACCACAATTTAATTCTAGATATATTATTATTTATTGATTAATGAAGTGAAAGAAGTTTTCGGTATATTTTACAAGTTTGTTTTCCATTGAGTGAAAAAGTTATTGTATCGAAAAATATTTCTATTTTAATTTATTTTTGCAAGAATGTTCATTATGTGTTTTCTCATTTCTGGCATTATAATTTAAGATAGTTACAGTGAATTAACAGGATTAATACATAGAATAATAAAATAGTGTAGATTTAATACATAGAATAATAAAATAGTGTAGATTTTGAAAAGCGATGTAAAATTGAACATGTATAAATTTATGAGATCAACTACGCATATACAATTGAGAATTTGGTACTGAAGTTATTGAAGTTACAATGTTACAAATCTTAACAAGACATTTATTATATTTTATACTGTTATAATACAGTTATATCGTTAACTTCTTGTCTAGTTCTTGTCTTATTGCATATGTTCTTGTTTATATTAAACATATTTGTGTCTTCTTTTATTTTTTTTAAATTTCTTTTACAAATAAAGTTCTGAGATAAATATCGAAATTAAAGTAAGCAAAATATTCACTTACATTTATATAAAAATAAATGTTTAGAAATTATATTTTTGTTTTAAATTCTTATAAAAATTAAAAGTTTTATGCTTTTAAGAATATATGTATATATATATATATATATATCAAGTTTTCTTATTATTACAATATATTTTAACAGGTTAATACTTCAACTCCGGAAATAAACGAAACTGAAGAAAATGGAATTTACAAGTACATTTTCCAAAGATCAAAGGCCGTCTTCGGTGATACAGGCTGGTACGGTTGCACTGATCATAATATGGAAATTATTACAAATTCTTCCACAATATCCTCTCTCCTCGAGGTGAACCAGTTGTATGTTTATGTAAAATGTAAGATCAAATCGCACGTCTCTTGTTAATTCATGGATTATTTCATTCAAGGAAAATTTTTGTATCTATATTTTATTTGTCATATTTCTATATTGCGCTAATTTTCGTTACAGCCAGTACAAATTTATTTGTGGAAGCAGATACTTATGCTCATCTAAATGCAATTGCTGGTGGCAGCATTGTAATACCATGCAGAACTACATCGCCAGACTTAATACCCATATTGTTCGATAATAATGTAAGTATTAATGCCAAATTAGATAATTAATAATTTAGAAATAAAACTAAATAAAATTATATTTCACTTTACATTTGGATTTAATTTCAAAATCTTGAAAATTTGAAAAATTAAAGAATAAATTTGTTTTTCTACTCATTCAGATTTATAGAAATTATAATATACTATATATAAACGCGATTATATGTAAAAAAAGTTATATAAAATTATTAACTTGTTTATACTCACAAATTCAAATATGTTTTTAAGAATCTTATCACGATATTTAAAAATAAATTTAAGAATGAAAATGCATATTATTATTGATTAATTGATATTGATATAATATCATTGATCAAATTATATAATATTGATATAATATTGACCATATTATTGATTAAAAATTTTTTATTTATATTATGTTATAATGTTATAAATGTCATCAGAAATAATTGTTGATTTTACAAATTTTCCTCTCTTTCTCTCTCTCTCTCTCTCTCTCTTTCTGTTTCTCTTTCTTTCTTTCTCGTCATTCTAGGCTTTTGATATTTCTTAACATTTAATATATAGGAAGAGGAAATAAAGGCGACATTTGATCCGAGAATTGGTTTTACGATTACGAATTTACTGGTGAAGGATAGTAATTGGTACAAATGCTCGATAGAGAAAGATGGCGAAGAACACATGGTTAATTATGTGTTGTCTGTACATCGTAAGTACGGTTTCAATTCGAGATGTAAATTTAACTATATATGTATATATAGATGTATAGAATATTTTATTTTTAAATGATTCATTGAGATATCTCGAAAATCAAGGCTTTCATTGAAAATGTTTTATACAAAAGTTTTGAGTGGTTTCAAGGATGGAACACAAGATTACTATGATTATTATGATTTTTAATGGTTCATTTAAATGTTACCTTCAATTTTTCAAATAACATTTTTCCAATATTTTTCATTACATAATATAAAATATCTCTTAATATCTATTTATTTTTTGATAACTATTGATACTTTATATGTATACAGAATAATGAAGTAAATTAATTAGTATGAAGAAGATATATAAATATGAATACAAGACATATACTTTAAAAAATTATATAATTAGCAAAGCAATTAATATGCAAGTTCACTTTTTTGAAAAACCAAATGTATCTTCTTTATATATTAATCGATTTATTTCATTATTTTATGCATAAAAGTACTAAAGTACATTTATCAAAAGAAATGAATAGTTTACAAGATATTTTATATTTTATGTCAAAACAGATCACAAGAAAATGTAAAATATCTTGTCAACTATTGACTATTTGATAACTGTATCTTAAGTATTTAAATTTCTTTTCAATAAAGAAATATAAGAGCAATTAAGAGTCAAGCGCTGTTATCAATGCGCAAAAATTTAATAAATATACTTATTTCACGTTAAAAAATTACAATACATAATTGTAATAAAAGCGAATGTTTCGATATTAATTTTCAAGACATTATCAACAAAATTAGATAAAAACGCAATGATATAATCAAACATGAAATCTCGTGGTGAAGATCAACATATCAAGTAAATGTAAAAAATGTATCACTCACAACGGTTACAAGGCTAGGTGACAAGAAAAAACCGTGAGTTATACAAGATTCCGAAACTCTCGCATTTGGAATATACTACATGATTCTCTATGCTAAAAGTCTAAATCATAAATATTAAAATTATTTATTTTAATAAATATAATTTTTCATACTTTTTTTATTTAAATAATTTTAATTTTTTATAATTTTTTTAACTTCTCTGATACAAGATATTAGAAATAATTTTACACATTTACTAAATATGTGAAAATGTTTCAAGATATCGGTATAACCGTTATTGAAATTTTATGAGATTATATAATTATTGTAATATTATAAGGATAAATATTTTTGTATAAATTTTTTGTTAATTTTTCTGAAGAAAATGAAGAGAGAACCAAACTTCTCTCAAAATATCTTAAATTGTAAATTTAAATATTTTATTTTTAAATACTATTATGAAAAAAACATTTTGACTCTTCGTGATTACATACTAATTAATCATGTAAGTATTCATTAAATTCAGTATTGTCGTTTTATTTTTATTGTCGTATGCAATTGCGCAATAATTAAAATAATAGAATGCTCAGTTCATATACCATATTATTTACATTTATTTTTATTTCCAGATAATGTTACGAAATCAGATAATTTTTTTATTGAATTGTTACGTAAAGGATGAAAGCAATATTTCTTTTATTAATTTTTATATTCATATTTTAAACAATACAGTAGGTGAAGTCGTCAAAGATTAAGTACCAGGCTGCGCCGGCCCTGACCGCTACGTACATACGTGCGCTCATTCGTCACTTTTAATCTGATCTATTGTAAAAACTATTCGTCGCACGCAATTTTGCTAAAGGAAAAAGTTTTTTTAGCATAGAGAATCACGTAGTGTACTCCAAATGCGAGAGTTTTGGGACACCCTCTATAGACGACATCAAATTTATTATAAATCGTAATTATTATATTATTATATACAAAATATTGCAAAAATTAATCACTCATCATAGGTTTGAATTCGGAAAACATGTGTATGATCAGTAAGCATTTCAATGCACAGGTCATAGTAATTTAAATAAAAGTATTAATTATCTTGAATGTTAGAACAAGTAATCAAAAGACAGTTAGTATACAATAAAATGTAAAAAACGAAAGAAAAGATGTTAATAAATCAGAAGTTAAAATTAAAGTAAAACATACGTTTATGAAGAAAATCACTTGATCGTTACGAATAAAGTCAAAATGAAAAACAATATTTATAGTTCATTTATAATTTGATATGCTGATCTTCACCACGGGACTTCATGTTTGATTATATCACTGCATCTTTATCTAACTCCATCCATATCCAACTCTTAGGCGCCTTTACATTTCTTTATTGTAACATTTTCGAGAGTTCTTTGGTATTTTATTAATATTTTTTTATTTAAAATAACTAGAAGAATTATATTACGTAATAAAAAGTATATGATTTTATTTAAAAAAATGACGACTACAAAAGAGCTTCAATAGTGACTTCATCATGATTATCATCATTAAACAGCTCTTTTTTTGTCCACTGGACATGAGTTTTTCTTAATCTACCTAAGGTTAGAGGATTTTAACAAAGAGAAACCTGAGAATGGTCACGGACGTGTTTTAGCTTACCCTTATTAATGTGCACGTTTTATAGTTCTCTTCCGTGACGCAAGAGTGATAAAGATGGATAGTCGTGTCCATATCGTCTGTCTTTATCACTCTTGTGTCTAGGAAGAGAACCATAAAAACATGCACATTACCTACGCGAATAAAGGTACAGCTAAAACGCATCCGTGACCACTCTCAAACTTCTCTCTGATTTTAGCCATTGCCCTATCACGCTGGCCAGTGCCAAGTTGATAGAGGGATCAATTGTCTTTTCAATTGATTTGCTTGGATGGTATGTGCAACAGGGCAAGATACTTTCGACGATTGCCATTGCCTTCCGAGAGGTGGCGATCGATAAAATTAGTTGTTTTTATTTTTGATATTTGATGCGGTCGGATTTGAACGGAATTAGCATGGAGAACAGATGTACAAGTCTCTGTGCCACGATCCTTCATTATGATAGATGACTCAATGACTGCATTCAACAGAGAAAGCAGATCAGTGAGCATTCAGTGATTCTTTATTATGATTGGTTTCTACACTTAGATTCAAAAATCTAAAGGCAAGAACCAATTATTGAAAATATTGAAAATTACTAATGTTGAAAAATTACTTAACGCTTACTGATCTGCTTTCTCTGCTGAACGCAGCCAATATCATTATGTGGCTTCCTCAAAACTTTACGACTTTGTCTTGAAATATTTTTAATAAAAATAAGTTACTGTATCACTTGAAACGAGACATTCTGTACACACACACACACACACACACACACACACACACACACACACGC